GAATTAGACAGCCTTTGCACACAGGCTTACGCTGGTAACTCATCAGTGGACTTTCCTCGTTAATATTCGCAATATTTTTTCGCACTTTTCTCATTCTGTATTTCTGACGTTCCAAAAGCGCCTCCTGCTGGCAGAGAATCAATGTGCATTTTCAATAATCCCGTCTGCAGTGTTTGTTCAGACCAATGCGAAAATCCACCCACATAACCCCGTTTTAAATTAATATCATAATTTATACTTCTGGCTCACCCCTGGTTTTAATGCTCAATTGTGAGGTTTATCATTTTAAAACCTGTATCTCAACTGTAAATCAGTTGCTATTACGCGGTCTACAGCATGAAAGAAAGCCATTATAATATGTACATGAAAAATGTAGAAACATTGGACACAACTATGGGGCACCATTGTGCAGCAGCAAGCATCACAACAAAAAAGCATCCTCAAGGTTGATCTAGGAAAATGTGTGCAAATGTATAGGGCCCCATTCCTATATTTTGCCTTGGGCCCCCAATTCACTAAATCACGTTCACCTCTTTTCCCTTCTGACTCTGCATTCCTGTCTTTATGAATGAACCTGAATTCATCTCTGACCTTTTCATGAGCTCACTCTCAGAAATGACTCTTTTCTATGACGACACTTATGTTTCTGTGTCAGCTTTAAAACTACTGCAGGTGTTTTAAATAGTTGCTTATCAGTTTATGTTAGTAAAACGTATTTGTTATGCTGTGCTGTGTTTTATGTATCACATGTATGTATTTCTGGGGTTTAGCAGGTTGATTTTTCTCTGGCCGTGCAGGCTGTCACTGTAAATAAGAAATTGACTTGCGTGGATACAAACAAACAAAAAATATCACATTTTACCAAAATGTAATTGCAATAATTTTAACAAATATAGTACACACATATGCATATGTTTTATTTCAGCTATTAACTGTAACTAATTAAATTAAATTAAATATGCCGTTCAATAGTTGAACTATTGAATAGTTGAGTTGCAATACTTTTATTCAGCAAGGATGCATTAAATTGATAAAAAGTGATAGTAAAGACTTATTATTGTTAGAAAAGATTTATATTTCAAATAAATGCTGTTCTGTTGAACTTTCTGTTCATCTGTGAATCCTGAAAAATAAAATGCATCACAGTTTCATCTGGGCTGGGCTTGCTAGTTGGTTTTTAATATAAAAAAAGTTGTATTTCTGGCAAATGTAAAAGGCCTTTCACACCAGAAGTGAAGTTAATAAGCCGCAGGCTGAAGGAAATGTACATTCAGGTCTGAACAGTAGAGGGCGCTGCTCAAACAAACCTTTACATGCTGCCATTCTGAATTGCATGAAGAAAGTTCAACACTCTTCAGCGAGAAAAAAAAAAGTTTATCTAAGGTAGAGCTGTGCAATCAATCGAAATAAAGTTTCAATTTCGATTTTGGCCTCCAACGATTGTGAAAATACAGTAATCGAGATAAAACGATTATTGCGCCCCATTCCACCCCTTTTCCAGCGGTGCGCTTTCACTCCATAAGAGCCCAATTTGACGTGTGAATCAGTCAAATCATGTAACGTGACTTTTGCAAAATGGGACGTGCTTGATTTATTAAAGCCTATTAGATTTATTCATGTTTCAGAGACGGAACAGAAGACGGACGAGTAAAGTGAGCGTTTAGCTTAAGGTGCGCCTAAACGGTCAAATACACACAAAAATGCTTGGTGATTATTCACATATACCCTCGTCGGTTTTGTTTTAAGTGAACGTAAACAGTTGAGAATGAAAATACGTGAAAAACTGTAGTTAAATTGAATTCGTGCGGCTCTTAAAGTGACAGCAGCCTAATATTCCTGCTGCTGACTGTGTGCTTCATATTAATCAAACAACAAAAGACAAAGAGAAAATCACTCACTGCTCCTCACTGAAGGACTTTTGTAGCTTTAATAAGAAACAAAGGAAGTTTAATTCTTTTTTAATAAAATTTCTGTAGTAGGATGTTTGCTGAATAATTTAGACTTGCACTGTTTGTTTCATTTGCATCTTTTTTTCTATTGTATTTGTCCTTGGCTTTTTTTTCTGACCTTTTAATAATTTTTTAGGGCTTTTTTTTTGTTTGTTTTTTACTAATATTACTTACCCTAGTATTCTGCTGTGGTATTGAGAATCGTGAAATGTAGCTTAGATTGTATAATTTCGAAATTTGAAGTAAAAACAGAATGGTTTGACTTTGAGTTTTGTGAAACTCTGCATAAAAAATATCTGCATGAAACAGAAACAGCAGACGAGCTGAATGAGACGCAGATTCACTCTCTGCCAGTAGGCGGTGCTTAAAGCGCTTCCTTGGTTTCCGCTGTAAACAAAGCAGCGCTGCACTTATGAACTTTAATATGCCTTATACAGAGGCAAGAGGAAAAGAAAAAATACCATCTAAACTTTTCTAAAGACAGTAAGTTCCCCTCAGACATGCATTCATATAAACTCCTGCCCCTAACTGAATCACGATTTATTTAGCATCTCAACCGATTTGAATCACATATTTAAATAGATTTTCAACCGGCTCGCAGTTAATCGTTACATCCTTCGTTTTTATTGATTTTGAGGAACGCTGAATCTGCTTTTGTGCGAGTGAGATATGAGTAAATGCATGTTCGCATTAGTCTAGAACTACAGTAAGATCATGTTCACACAGCGCACACAACGCATCTGCACTCACTCCTGATTTCTCTCAACATGAGCACAGGAGAGCTGCCAGTCAATACATGAGGAAACAAAGTAACTGGTGTTACTTATTTGAAAAAGTAACTCCGATATTTTATTGCAAATAACGGGTTACTTTACAAGTTACTTGAAAAAGTAATCTGATTACATAACTTGCCTTATGTGTTACCACCAAGTCCATCTGTGTAATCTGACCCAGCGTCTCTCTCTCCACCCGACAGGTGAACCTGTTTTTCCTGCTGAACATTGTGCGGGTGTTGATCACCAAACTGCGGGTCACTCACCGCTCCGAGACCAATGTCTACATGAAGGCGGTTCGCGCCACCATCATCCTGGTTCCTCTGCTGGGCGCTCAGTTCATCCTGATGCCGCTGGAGCCCAGCGGACGCGTCTCTCTAGCCGTCTACGACCTCTTGATGAACATCTTTGTGCATTTCCAGGTAATGAACTTGAGCCTGTAAAGACATAAGCATCAGCGTTTTGTTTCTGTAGCTATGTTTCCATCCAAAGATGCAAATTTAACTTATGCGCAAAACTGGAATGTCGCATAAAACATTTGCGAATAAAGCACCGCTTCCATCCAACGAGTCAAAAGCTGTTTCCATCACCCTATTTTAATGCGCATTTTGAAGTATCGCATGAGAAACGAGTGATGAAAACGTTTTTTTAATTCGCAAAAACTTTTTTATGCTCGCTTGAGGTGGTTTTTGACTTGTGCGAAAAAGGGTTGATGCAATTATTGGGAGATGGAAATGCATTTTGCGAATAAATTCCATTCATTGTGTTTCGTCTGCTCGCTCTGAGGCGCAAGTAATTTATTATATATGAAAATTATTATATTCTCCTACTTTTCTTAGAGATCTATAGTGCCAGTTTATCAGGAAATTACGGTTTTGTTCTCTTTGAGTTGTTGGATGGAAACGATGCTTGTTTGCAAATGTTTTATGCGTTATTCCAGTTTTGCGCATAAGTTAAATTCGCAACTTTGGATGGAAACCCGGCTACAGAGCACAAAATCGTCACTTCCTGATAAACTGGCACTAAATATCTCTAAGAAAACTAGGAGAAGACGTAACACGATAAATGCAGTCATTGCTTTTAGAGGTGGATGTCTGCTGTTTGGGAACGCAGTCGTGTAAGACAGTAATTATACAGAAATACTTTAACGACAGACTTTGCTCAGGCATTTCAGAACGACCAAAACAACATATAGATGCTGTGAACGAGATCGGTCCGCTGCTAGTCAATTTATCCCGTCTCATCGCACAAAGTCAATGCGCATGGTGGAATTTATTCGGTAAATGTGTTTCCATCGTAGTTTATGCGCATTTTTCTTATCGAATAAAATGTTTATCCTACTCAGTTGTGCTCATACGTTTTTATGCGCATTGTTAGAATTTATGCCATCTTGGCGTTTCCATCCAATGGATTTTTATGCAATTTATGCGCATTGTTAGAATTTATGCGCATCTTGGCGTTTCCTTCCAACAGATTTTTATGCGATTTATGCGCCTTGTTAGAATTTATTCGCATCTTGGCGTTTCCATCCAATGGATTTTTATGCAATTTATGCGCATTGTTAGAATTTATGCCATCTTGGCGTTTCCATCCAATGGATTTTTATGCAATTTATGCGCATTGTTAGAATTTATGCCATCTTGGCGTTTCCATCCAATGGATTTTTATGCAATTTATGCGCATTGTTAGAATTTATGCCATCTTGGCGTTTCCATCCAATGGATTTTTATGCAATTTATGCGCATTGTTAGAATTTATGCCATCTTGGCGTTTCCATCCAATGGATTTTTATGCAATTTATGCGCATTGTTAGAATTTATGCCATCTTGGCGTTTCCATCCAATGGATTTTTATGCAATTTATGCGCATTGTTAGAATTTATGCCATCTTGGCGTTTCCATCCAATGGATTTTTATGCAATTTATGCGCATTGTTAGAATTTATGCCATCTTGGCGTTTCCATCCAATGGATTTTTATGCAATTTATGCGCATTGTTAGAATTTATGCCATCTTGGCGTTTCCATCCAATGGATTTTTATGCAATTTATGCGCATTGTTAGAATTTATGCCATCTTGGCGTTTCCATCCAATGGATTTTTATGCAATTTATGCGCATTGTTAGAATTTATGCCATCTTGGCGTTTCCATCCAATGGATTTTTATGCAATTTATGCGCATTGTTAGAATTTATGCCATCTTGGCGTTTCCATCCAATGGATTTTTATGCAATTTATGCGCATTGTTAGAATTTATGCCATCTTGGCGTTTCCATCCAACGGATTTTTATGCGATTTATGTGCATTTTTAGAATTTATGCGCATCTTGGCTTTTCCATCAAACTGATTTTTATGCGATTTATGCGCATTGTTAGAATTTATGCGCATCTTGGCGTTTCCATCCAACGGATTTTTATGTGATTTATGCGCATTGTTAGAATTTATGCGCATCTTGGCGTTTCCATCCAACGGATTTTTATGCGATTTATGTGCATTTTTAGAATTTATGCGCATCTTGGCGTTTCCATCCAACGGATTTTTATGCGATTTATGCGCATTGTTAGAATTTATGCGCATCTTGGCGTTTCCATCCAACGGATTTTTATGCGATTTATGCGCATTTTTAGAATTTATACGCATCTTGGCGTTTCCATCCAATGGATTTTTATGCGATTTATGCACATTTTTAGAATTTATGCACATCTTGGCGTTTCCATCCAACGGATTTTTATGCGATAATCCAAAATGCGCATAAAAATAGGTGGATGGAAACATAGCTAGTAACAACTTAAATAAATGCCTGCTTAAGCACTTTCCACTGCATGTTTAATATCACTAGCATAAAAAAGTGCTGTTATTACATTTTAAGTGTTTTATTAAACGGATGCATTTCTTTCAGACCTGTATGAGTGTACAGCAGTGTTATTTTAGTGTTATCGATATAACATTATAAGGTCATTCCGTGTCAAATCAACCAAATATCAGAAACTTCCCCGGCTCAAATGTTTGATTTTGTCCAATTTTTTTCTGTAGAATGATAAACATGTATAATGATGAAAGCCAAAATATTAAATGTCACAGATGAATATTTACGGAGTAATCCACTGTTTTGTAGAGGGGGGTCAAAATGACAATTTTCACATGAGATTCGGAGCCAGATTACAGGGGGGTAAAAATGACTTCAGAAAGATGGCAGCATCAATATAGTATTTTCACACAGAGATTGGTTGCTCTTTTAGTAACATCTGTTGACTTTAGCAATCTGTGTTGCATTATACGTACATCAGTGGTGAATATGGGGAAAAAACACTTTTCAAAAAAAATTTTTTAAACGGTATTGCAAGCTCACACTTGACTGAAACACGAAATAAATACAAAATAAATTAGTAGCTATGGCCATGAAAAAATATGTGTTGCAAAATGATTGCTTTTGCTCTGTTTCATTTATATTTTGCAATTCTTTATTTTTGTTTGCAAAAAGCACATTCATTTTTTTGCTCACTTTCATTTGCAAACCCTTATTTTCTTTTGCAATACTTACAATTTTTTTGTGAATATATGTGGTATTGAATTGACTCCATATGTTTCCACCACTGAATAAAAAATGTAATATAAAAATTATGGCTTTTCTCACAATTCTAACTTTGTTCTCGCAATTCTGAGTTTATATCTCACAATTCGGATGTTATCAGAATCAGAATCAGAATCAGAAAGAGCTTTATTGCCAAGTATGTTTGCACATACAAGGAATTTGTTATAGTGTCACAAGCTTCCAGTACACTGAGACAACAACAACACACAGATAATAAAAGTGAGATGTGAATAAAATACACATGCATAAATATAAACCACAAAAAAAAAAGCAGAGTGTGAAAAATCCTTATTTGTCCGGGAGAGCAGAAGAAGTTCGTCTGTTTTGTTGGGTAGAGAGCGGAGATTCGCCAGATGGATGCTCGGCAACGGCGTTCTGAATCCGCGCTTCCTGAGCTTCACGAGCGCGCCGGCTCGCTTCCCCCGTCTGCGCGTCCTGAAGCGTTTGATCAGCGCAGCAGCTCCGCCAAGTACAACGTTCAGCAAAACGTCCGAATAAACGAAATCCGGTAGAAGATTGTGTGGTGTGTTCTGCCGAATGTTCAGCAGCTCATCCCTGGTAAAACTGATCGTGTTTGAGAAACAAAAAACAGGAAAAACTAACAAAAACAGTACAAACACTGGAGAGCCAAACACTGCGGCTGCCGTCTGCGGCGCCATCAGATCCATAAAGGATGGATGGTTTATGGTTTATGTATATAAACTCATAAGGATGGTTTATGTATATAAACTCATAATTGTGAGATAAAAAGTTTCAATTACGGTTTTTTGTATTCCATGACACTTTTCAATTCAATGGACTTTCATATTTAATTCATGTTTATTTTATTTCAACATTATAGTTAGCAATAATAAGCTGGTCTAGCAGTGTGTTTTCTTAAGCGCTTGTTTTGTGTTTCTGCAGGGCCTCCTGGTGGCCGTAATCTTCTGCTTCTATAATGGAGAGGTATGACTTAATTATTTCATTAATTAATAATTAATGCTTCATTAATTAACCTCATTAATCTTTATTAAAGCACTTTAGATGAGCATAATCTTTTGAGGATTGTAGTGGCCCGCTATTTACAATAGAATAATCTAGCATGCAGTATGTTTTTCACTTCCAGCATAAAGCAGGAGTACGGAAGACTTTGAACTTTGACTACCAAATTATTGAATCAGACTACCAAAAATTGTTAGACATTTTTACACGAAATTCGATTAAAATGCAAAATAATATTTTCATCCCTGTTTTTATTTCCAATAATAACTGAATGCGTGATTTCATTTAATCTGAAACATTTCTTGTTACATACTATTTGAATATACAGGTGCCTCTCAATAAATTAGAATGTCATGGAAAAGTTAATTTATTTCAGTAATTCAACTCAAATTGTGAAACTGGTGTATTACATAAATTCAATGCACACAGACTGAAGTAGTTTAAGTCTTTGGTTCTTTTAATTGTGATGATCACATTTAACAAAAACCCACCAATTCACTATCTCAACTAATTAGAATATGGTGACATGCCAATCAGCTATATATAAACCTTGAGATATAACGTAACATTGTTGTGTATAATGCCTAATCAGAAGCTTGTTCAGTAATGGTGACAAAAACTTGATTATTAAAAAAAAAATTCTTTCTTGTTAAAGGTCATTTAAATAAACAAATATTTGAATATCCGTTTTTCATGAGCCCAAATATTTGAGTACAATCATTTTGAAAAATGCCCATCCCTAGCAATTTCTGAGTAAAAATAGTTTCTATACTTCTTTTTTTTTTTTTCAGCATATCATGGTTTGAAACATTAATTGTTGCATACTGTTTCAGTGTTGTTGTTGTTTTCTACATTTTGTATGTATTGTTTATGAGTATAAATGCTACAACCAAATTGCCTTCGGGAAATGAAATAAAGGCAAACTGAACTTAAATTATATTTAATATAATATTCTATACAGCATATATAATGTATAGAATGTATATAATATTTATATATTATTTTCATTATATTATTATTTTATTATTATTATACATATATGTTATTTATTATAATATATCTATAATGTATATAATAAATATTATTTATGTATAAATATTATTACAATGTTTTATATAGTGAGCTAGTGTTCTATTCTGAAGAAATGGCCGCGTGTTCTGGTCCCGCAGGTGCAGTCGGCACTGAGGCGTAAGTTTGCGCAGTATCGCGGTCAGCGGAAGCGCTGGCCTCTGGTGACCACTGACTCTCACTGTAACTACCACACCAACTCGTCCATCACCGAGACCAGCCGCGCCACCGTCAGCCTGGAGCACGACCCGGCCAACACGAGCGGCACCGCACACGCACTCGCACTCAACAGCCAGAGCAACGGCAAACGCTGCTCCAGCGACGGGCCCAAGAGCTGCGACGTCCTCGAGTCGACTGAAATATGAGCGTCTGTCTCATTATACGCACTAATGCCACCAACGCTACAGTGCATTCCCAGCTAACAAACGTGTGCTAAGAACGTTTTGCTAACGTTCCCTTTAAGTTATGAAAACGTTATTTCTAAATGTTCTTTGAATGTTCAAAACGTCAAATTTTTAAAGGGGTCATCCGATGCCCATTTTCCACAAGTTGATATGATTCTTTAGGGTCTTAAAGAAAAGTCTATAACATAGTTTGGTTACGAGCTGTGAACGTTTACACTCGAACAGACGTCTTAAAACATGTCTATACTTTATTTAATAACATGAAAAATTACAGCAGCTGGTTCGCCACAATTAGCATCAAATTCTAGCTTGCTAGCCACAACATGAAGTGTCTTGTGTTGTTTTCTCTTCATAAAGTGCTTCAAATACATTATGTATGATTAAAATGTAAAACTTCTGGGGTTATGATACAGTAATGGTTAAAATAGGAATATCACGACACTTTTACATGATACTAAATGATCACCATATTAGCATACCATGAAAGTGGGACAAAACGGTGCAATATAAAAAAATAATAAAACCTTATACTCCGATAAATTAAGCTACATTTATGTATCTTACATGTACTAAGTACATGTAAGATATCTATGTTGTATCTATGCTTTGATACAACCTCCCAACTTTTCTCGTTTTTATCAAAATGTGCTTTTTACCTTACATTGTGTTAACACCATCAGACACCAAAAACACAAATTAATTTTCACTCACGTTATGCAAGACCTATAAGAAGTATAGTAAACACTATTTTGACAGAGGCCACAAAAAAAAAAAAAAAACTTCAATATGTATAAATATATTTATTATAAAGATTTCCGTCTGTGTTTCTTGAATTGGACTGTGTAATATAACTTTAACTTGATCTTTAACAGCAATCAAGATGTTTTTAACGTTTCTAAACATATTCTCGTGTTAGCAGACAGATTATGTTTTCATATATGTGTCCCTGCAGCACAAAAGCAGTGTTAAGTCGCTGGGGGATATTTGTAGCAATAGCCAACAATACATTGTATGGGTCAAAATTATACATTTTTCTTTTATGCCAAAAATCATTAGGATATTAAGTAAAGATCATGTTCCATGAAGATATTTAGTAAATGTCCTACTGTAAATATATCAAAACTTAATGTTTGATTAGTAATATGCATTGCTAAGAACTTCATTTGAACAACTTTAAAGATGATTTTCTCAATATTTAGATTTTTTTGCACCCTCAGATTCCAGATTTTCAAATAGTTGTATCTCAGCCAAATATTGTCCGATCCTAACAAACCATACATCAATGGAAAGCTTTCAGATGATGTATAAATCTCAATTTCGAAAAATTGACACTTAAGACTGGTTTTGTGCTCCAGGGTCACATATTACCAACAAATATAAAATATCATAATGAAATATTCTCAAAATATTCATCTGACGGTGGTGACGAAAACTTGAAGTTGTAGTCATTTTAACTATCAAATACATTGAATCAGTTACTGTATTAAAACAAACACAACAAACATTGAGTATGTTATTGTTATTGTATGTTTATATGTTATTCTCGCTGGCTGTGCTTCCATTTCTTTCTCTTTTTCCTCTGTTCTCTCTTACTCAAATCCTTGATTTGCTTTATTTTTCCTTCCTCATCTCTCTGTTTCCACCTTTGTCTCTCCTGTCTTAAATTTCTCATTTAATTCTGGCTGTGCACTGATTTTTTCTTTTCGCTTTTTCTGATACTCTCTGTTCCTTCGTCTACGCTCCTCCAATAAGGGGATAATTGTGTTAAATACATTCTATTATTAATCCCTCATAACAATTACAATTGAAAATATTTTCAATTAGCAGTTACAATTGCTGGACGTGTTTTGTCCCATGTCTCAAGAATCAGTGACATATAAAACACAGTAGTAGTACTTTATAGAAGCACTGCGATGATTTCGTTTTCAAACAAACTACAGTTAAATGTTTCCTGATCTTTTGTCAAACTCGAGCTAATTTAAAGCCCAAGAGCTTCATCGCCTTCAGCAGAGCTTATTTTATTCATAAACTGTGAACCCAACAGCTGTGCCTCTAGAGGCCTCAATAATTCATCTCCTCAAACATCCTTCATCTGAGGTGAAATGACATGCTTAAACAGTGTGAACGACTGTGAGGAGATGTTTAATTAATGAACAGCAGCAAGCTATCAAAAATATGCTTTAAGAACGTTTTGCTAACGTTCCCATGAATGTATGAAAACGTTATTTCTACATTTTCTCTGAAAGTTCAATTCGTCCAGTTTTTTAAATGTTTAAATTTAACATTCTCACTTTGTGAACGTTACTTTTGAATGTTCTCCAAGCCATCTGAACAGGGGCGTCGCAAAGAATTCTGGGCCCTGTGCAATGAATTTGCTATGGGGCCCCCGATCACGGGCCCCACAAACCTCTGGGCCCTATTCACTCTGTCACCCTTTTCCCCCCACTAGCGATGCCCCTGCATCTGAAACTAGTAAGTAGTTCTATCAAAGTTAGGCATACAGTATGTCCAACTAATGTTTCAGGGGGGAAAAAATTCCATGAACGACGTATAAATAACGTTTTTGTGCTAACATTTTGAGAAAGTTTTTAGCGACCAGATAACTTTAAATGAACGTTACTGGAGAAGTTACTGGAAGAATGTTTGTTCATAACTTTGAAAGAACCTTGCCTGAACGCAAGCCGACGTTCTGAGAACATTCTCTGTTAGCTAGAATAGAATAGAATAGAACATAATAGATGAGAATAGAACAGAATAGAATACAATAGAATCGCACAGAATATAATAGAACAGAATAGAACAAAACATAATAGAATACTATAGAATAGAACAGAATAGAATAGACCAGAACATAATAGAATAGAACA